ACATGTATAAATGGATAAAGTAGTTGAAGATAATACATTTTACTCAAAATGACAAGATTTTAAAATAATTGATATCTTCTTCAAAACATCAAAGTTTTTCCTTTTCAAGTCTTCATGCTGTTTTAAAACATATATTACGTTATTCCCCGCCGTAGTGAATTGACGATTTCAGATTTAACATTTTCTTAAGGATTCAGAAGTAGCAATACGATCTGTTTTCACAATATGCTATGGACATAGATGGTTCTATACACTAGGCTACATGAAGACATACCTAAGATTTGCTTTGTTGAACAAAATTCTTTTTTTTTTTTCTTTTTCTTTTTTTTGCGGTACACGGGCCTCTCCCTGTTGTGGCCTCTCCCTGTTGTGGCCTCTCCCGCCGCGGAGCACAGGCTCTGGATGCGCAGGCTCAGTGGCCGTGGCTCACGGGCCCAGCCGCTCTGCGGCATGTGGGATCCTCCTGGACCGGGGCACGAACCCGTGTCCCCTGCATCGGCAGGCGGACTCCCAACCACTGCGCCACCAGGGAAGCCCTGTTGAACAAAATTCTTGCTATCGGTGTGGCTTTTAGCAATTTACCTCTTTTCGTAAAAGCAAAGCATAAAACGTGTAGTAGCGCAGGGCTTTGGCTGTGCTCTCTTAAGCTTTTCTGCAAACATAAACAACAGGTCAGAGGCCTGGACAACACCCTCCTAAGACATTTCTCATCTGTTCTCAGTAGCATTATCATCTCTGTCCATCAGGGGTTTTCACACTGTAGAAGCTTCCGAACATTCTCTCATTTCAGCATCAAAAACACTTTAAACTTCTAGTTAGTTTTAAGCAATCTGTAAGCATACTTTGGCTATCCATTTCATATCCGTACTACGTGTTAGAGAATAACAAGTTTAAGGTGTTTTTTCTTCCATAAGACACAGTCTACTGAGAAATCAAAGACAAATATGAAACCATTATAATACAGCATTGTAATGATACATTGATCGAATAGAGTGCAATTTCTCACTAATTGTCACAATGAAATGTGGAACTGTCCACTCTTTGTGAATTTGTAGGATGTCAGTGATGAAAATGACTAAAGCTAAGTTGCGATTTGAGAGCCATAGGCAAACTTTGGCCTCTGAGAGTACTTAGTTCTGGGTTCCCCACTGAGGGTGGCAGATAATCAAGGTGAAGCTCCTTCATAGGATGAACTGCAGATACATTTCATGGACACTGACATCAAAAACATGGTGAGTCATTCGGTGCAGTTCAAATCCAAGTCTTTTCTCAGAATAAACAGACACTGGCATTCCCTGGAGAACTTCTTTGGCCGTTGAAAAAGTACATTTCTTTCCTTGTTCAACCTGAGCTTAAGAAGTATGTCTCTAAGCCCAGAACGCTCTTGGAATGAGTTCAGAACGTACCCAGCAGCCTGCTCTGATGACCTGTGAGTGCAGGATGCTCTGACCAGTGGGCTGACCTAGCTTCCTGGAACACACGTGCTGTCCAAGGGAAGACACCTTGCCTCATTCATCTCTGGGTCGCTCCTAAAAGCCAGCTCAGGGCCCGATTATGTTCCATACATAGGCTTAGTCAATATTTTGAGCGTATAAAACCTCCATTAACATGATGTCACCTCTTCCTTTCCTCACAGTATCAGTGTTTCTCAACGTGCAGTCCTGTGGGCATTCCCACCAGAATCGCCTGACGCTTACCACAGCTCAGATCCCCAGGTCCCACTTCAGACCCACTAGCCCAGAACTGGCCGAGGGTGAGGGCCAGGAATCTGCCATTTTAATGAACAGACTGGGTGATCTGAGGCAAACTTATATTTATTAAAAAACTGTTTGGAATTTTATGTATTTATTTTTTAATATTTATTTGGTTGCGCAGAGTCATAGTAGCGGCCGGCGGGCTCCTTAGCTGTGGCATGCGAACTCTTAGGTGCAGCATGTGGGATCTAGTTCCCTGACCAGGGATCCAGCCTGGGCCCCCTGCATTGGGAGCGCAGAATCTTCACCACTGCGCCACCAGGGAAGTCTCCAGAAATTTATTAAAAGAAAGAAAAAAGAAAAACCTTAACCATGATGAAACTTGGTCCTTGTATCTCACAGCATAATTCACCTCTAGACTGATCTCTGACACGCATTTACTGCAGTAACTGGAACCCTCTGTGTAACCCCCGTCGTGGTGTGCAGGGGCAGAGTGCTGCCCGATGGAGAAAACAACACCCGTAGCCGCGTGGGGAGACTTGCTATTAGCTGGCTTCTCGGACAGGGAAGTGAAAACTCCCTGCTTTAAAAAATTCTCCACAAGGCCTGTAACTCTGATGATTTTTGAGGCTTTTGCCCTGATGGAAGAGCAGGATAGAAAGGTCAATTCAGTCACCTGACGTTTGTAATCATCCATCACGTGGAGCAGGCCTGGCAGCTGTCAGAAGAGACACAGACAAGAGGGAGGCAGGGTGTCTGCCCCTCGATGGTCCCAGGAGCATGGGGAGGGCCACGGGCAGAGGCAGAGCAGCCTTGCCAAGAACAGTGCCACTAATTCACACAAACCACCTCGAGGAGATGGCGTTTCTGCCAGACCCTGAAGGATGCGTTGTCCAGAGGCAGAGGCTTAAAAGCAGAGGGAAGAGCGTAAACAAAGTGCAGAAGGGAGGCTTGTTCAGGAATGACCCTCAGAGCCCAAGGCTGGGGCTGGGAGGGATGTGGCTGCAGAGGCTGGCTGGGGCCAGCCTGAGAAAGGTCTAAATGTTTCCACAAATAGATTCTGGTGCTCAGTTTCTATATTTGACTTCGCCTGACCTGTCAAACTAAAGCAACTTCTGAATACAATTTGACTTTTTAAAAACACTTGATGGGGGGCTTCCCTGGTGGCACAGTGGTTAAGAATCCACCTGCCATGCAGGGGATACAGGTTCGATCCCTGGTCCGGGAGGATCCCACGTGCCGTGGAGCAACTAAGCCCGTGTACCACTACTACCGAGCCTGTGCTCTAGAGCCGGTGAGCCACAACTACTGAAGCCCGCGTGCCTAGAGCCCGTGCTCTGCAACAAGAGAAGCCACCACAATGAGAAGCCTACGCACCACAACGAAGAGTAGCCCCCGCTCACTGCAACTAGAGGAAGCCTGCGCGCAGAAACAAAGACCCAGTGCAGCCAAAAATAAATAAATTTTTATTTTCTTTTGCGGTACGCGGGCCTCTCACTGTTGTGGCCTCTCCCGTTGCGGAGCACAGGCTCCAGACGTGCAGGCTCAGCGGCCATGGCTCACGGGCCCCGACACTCCGTGGCACGTGGGATCTTCCCGGACCGGGGCACGAACCCGTGTCCCCTGCATCGGCAGGCAGACTCTCAACCACTGCGCCACCAGAGAAGCCCATAGATTTATTTTTTAAAAAATAAAATTAAATGAAATTTAAAAAGAAAGAAAAGGTTTTAAAAAAAACCCACACTTGATGGAAACGCCAAGTATATTTACGAACGTACATTGTCATTTCAGAAGCAAGCATAATATATTCAAAAGTGTAACTAATACTATGAGAGCTAAAGTTTATCTCACAAAAACCCTTTTCAAAGAGAGAACTCCTGGTACCATATTCAAATCGGTATTTTTATAACAGCATCAACAAGAGCTCACAATTGGGTTTGATGAGGTGGAGCCCAGAAGGTTCTACGTTTCTCAAAACTTCACTAGTAAGAGTCTGCATCTAATTCGTTTCCTACTTGATTCTTCATAAAAGTAGGATTGAAAGCCTTTAAAACGAGGAGTTAACGTTTTCTCATAGCAATAGGATATATTAACCTAAAATTTTTTGGACTATCTTTTTAAAGAACTTGTTTTAGAAGATTAAGATATATTTTGGATTAAAGTAGTTTGTCTCATAATGAGCTCTCATGGTACAAATGACAAAAGATCTTTCTTAAAACACAAAGCATCTTAAAATGCATGACCTTGAGTGGCACCCTTCTCCTCGGTCTCCTACCAGAGGATTTCAAAGGGTTCTGTCATCAAGACACAGCCCTACTCTTTCCTGCTCTCCTGAGAAAGGGCTACCCAAGAAAGCTCTCAGAAAAAAGTCAAAATGGAAACCAGCCCATTTTAAATACCTGGGTTTTTAGTAAGGGCCTCATTTATTCATAAGGTTCATATAGACTCTTTAAATTATTTTAAGCTTTCCAGCAAGTTACCCACCAGAAGAGCCAGTTGCAGTGTGGGGAAGCTGGTAAAGTGCACACGTAACTGCATGAGCAATAGAGCCACTTTAAGCAAACGATCTAGGCATATCTTTTTCTGCATTTTTAAGAAGGAAATATATAGTTTTCCAGGAAAAAACCATCCAATAGCTGACTAATACACCCCTTGGTAGTTTGCCATAATTCCAGAAATCATTTTCATCTAAATTCACATGACTCATGGTATCTGTGATGACATGGTTTTCAAAAACAAGCATTTCCACAATGAAAATTTAGCGCAGATTTTAACTGAGGCCAACATTCTTAAATCTTTACAACTCAAATTAAATTAGGGTCAGCATTAGCCAGAGGGTCCAGCAGTCTGATGGGTTCACCTTTAGTTCCCACGGAAGAACACACCCTAGGCAATATTTTAAGAGTCCCTCCCCACGCAGAAGTGCAGGCTGTGTGAATGTGCACTGGGCCATTGTGTGTGTTTGCAAGGAGAGGAAGTGAAGAGAGTAGAAAGAGACGGTCCTTAGACTCCAAATGCATGAGGACAGGGTGACCCCAGCACAAGGACGGCCCCTCAGTAGGCTGCATGGCCAGCACAGAGACCTGTTGAGGGTGGAGCTGGAATACTGCAGGCTACAAAGGAAGATTTTGAGCATTATTAGGGCACTAGAGTGTAAAAGGACCCCTTGCCACTTATTTCAGTAATAATAATCCCTATCATTATCATTTATTGAGCACTTAAATGCCTGGCACGGTATCCATCTCTCTCAAGTGTCACAACTGTGTTATTAGCATCCTCATTTTATGAATGAAGAAAACAGACTCAGCACTCGCCTCGGCAGCACATATACTGAAATTGGAACGATACCGAGAAGATTAGCATTGCCCTGCGCGAGGATGACACACGTATTTGTGAGGCATTCCATGGTTCTATAGCTGATTCACTTCGTTACAAAGCAGAAACTAACACACCACTGTAAAGCAATTCTACTCCAATAAAGTTAAAAAAACAAAAGAAGAGAAATGGTGGTCTAATCAGCCAAACACCTTTGAAAAGAAAAAGTAAACAGACTCAGAGAAGTAACCCAACTTGCTTAAAAGCATGGGGTGCGGCTTCCCTGGTGGCGCCGTGGTTGAGAGTCCGCCTGCCGATGCAGGGGACACGGGTTCGTGCCCCGGTCCGGGAAGATCCCACGTGCCGCGGAGCGGCTGGGCCCGTGAGCCATGGCCACTGAGCCTGCGCGTCCGGAGCCTGTGCTCCGCAACGGGAGAGGCCACAACAGTGAGAGGCCCGCGTACCACAAAAAAGAGTAGCCCCCGTTCGCCACAACTAGAGAAGGCCT